ATGGTCTCAATTATTGGATTGGTTTGAAGTGTTCGCTCAGTAGAAAACCTCGAAAACATGAATCAAGATCGTACACACATCTGCAGCGATAAGGTCCCTACCGTGTTTGACATTCTGCTTGGTTCGAGCATCACAAACTATGTGTGTCCGCACACTTTTGTGATAGGTCTTCCTATATTCTAGATCTCTTCAAATTGATCTCTTGTCCTCACAATTGTAAATTGATTTGAAAGAGAAGGTGAAAACTCATAAAATGACAGTAAGAAGTAGGGTTCCCGGCCAATAAAATCCTTCGGCACATGGCCACCTTCGCCCTATGGGCACCATTCGCCCGTTGGGCACCCCCTTCACATGGAAGGCAAATTCTGAAAGACTGCGTGTAGAGCAAGTAGACCACGTAGATCAAAGAAATCGCGATAAATCCGCCCACACCGCCTTGGCGGTGAAGGCGTGCTTATTGGGGGGCAACAGCAACACTAAATGCTCAATGACATTTGTTAATATAGCAGTCGCTATATCAGCTTTAGCTGGGGGGGGGGGGCCAAAAACGGTTTCGCACCGAGACCAGAATACGGTGGTGTTTTCGACATTTTTCGAGGATTTTTGGGTGTCTGAGCGCAAGAGGGTATTGAAATGGAATTTTGGGTCATTTTGGTAGCTTTCCGGCAATGGAAAAACGGCCAAAAATGAAAAAAACATTGTACATAGCAAGATTTTGCAGGGTTTTTGGATGCCAGAGCATTGAAAACACTGCAAAAACAAGTGTTTTGGACTGACGTTATAGCAAAAAACGTGTAAATTACCGTATGCTTGACTGGAAACATTACAAAAACACTGTCAAAAGCAATGTTTTGGAAGGATTTACTGCCTTTATGGCAAAAAACGTGTAAATTACCGTCTGTTTGACTGGAAACATTGGAAAAACACTGTCAAAAACAATGTTTTGGAAGGATTTCTTATATATATATATGTTGGAGTTGGCTACCGGCATTGGAACATGGAAAAATTGAAGAAAACACTGTAAATAGCGGTATTTTCAACGGTTGGGGAGATAAGGGAATTGGAAGCATTGTCGAACATGATGTTTTCGACCGGTTTTATGGCGACAAAAGTGTAAAGTACCGTGCTTTGAAGGAAACCATTGCAAAAACATGGAAACACATTCAAAGAACACGGGATTTGGGGGACTATCTAGGCGTCGTTGTCTAGCTATTTGAAATTCCGCAGCTTGGAGAGCCTCCAAGGGAGGGAAAAGTGAAAATTTCATAGCTTGGGAAGCTGTCACGGCGGGGAAAAGTGAAAATTCCCTAGCTTGGGAAGCCCCCACGGGGGGGAAAAGTGAAAATTCCCTAGCTTGGGGCCCCCACGGGGGGGAAAAGTGAAAATTCCCTAGCTTGGGGAGCCCCCACGGGGGGGGAAAAGTGAAAATTCCCTAGCTTGGGGAGCCCCCACGGGGGGGGGGAAAGTGAAAATTCCTTAGCTTGGGAAGCCCCCACGGGGGGGAAAAGTGAAAATTCCCTAGCTTGGGGAGCCCCCACGGGGGGGAAAAGTGAAAATTCCCTAGCTTGGGGAGCCCCCACGGGGGGGGAAAGTGAAAATTCTTAGCTTGGGGAGCCCCCACGAGGGAAAACCGCCCTTAGCCCCTCTCACGGACCGAAATAAACCTGCGGTGTGGGCGGCCACCCCACGCGAAGCGGGGTGAATAAAGTCGAAATGGAAAGGACATGGTTAGATTAAAAGGTGTTAATTGTTATTGGCGAAATGATTGAATATGATGCAATCCAAAGTTTGTATTAGCGAAATAATTGAATATGATGCAATCCAAAGTTATCGTGCCCTTGTCCCTCACGAACATCAATTGTTTGTTGCAGATTGCGCAACACTTTGCGTGTGGAGAGCGGTATACACATATATACATATGTCTTCATAAGGAAGGTGACACTTCTGGGTTGCCGACGCGTGGAACAAATAGAGCAAGGACAGTATGACTTTGGAGTGTTAAAAAGTGAAGAGAACTGCACTTCAATTGAAACATGGATACCACGAAATGAAATGGACACAAATCGATTGTATTCTTGTTCTTCCACAAATCCGTTTAAAATGAACGTTTATTAGTTGTCTATGGACGAAGGGCAGAATTCGCCAAAAACTGAGATTCCGACGCGTAGAACACGTAGGTCAGGTGGTTGAGATAGAACGCAGTGATGAAAAACAGTAAATGGATTGATTAAATCACAGTTATATAACACTTAAGCCAGTGTGTTGCAGTACCGTGAACCATATAGAGTAGAACAACGGACGTAAACTAAGCTGGAGAACTGAATATAATCAATTACGGAAAAACAAATATCACACTGCGAGCCAGGCGTTTTGGGTGGGATGTTGCAGAAAAACGTTTGAACAGTTGCAACAGTTGCAAAGTTGCAATTGGAATGAAAAGCACAAAACCAAAATGCAGCTACAACGGCTTCTTTTCAGTCAAACGGTGTCAATTGTTGTCTGGTCCATTTGTGTCCAAAACTGCGGGCAATCGAAATGATCTGAGGAATGCATTCGCGGTATCTAGGTTCCTGAAGGGTATGAAGGGCGAGCAGGTCTTGAACTTGAGGAAGTTGAAGTTCACGAGGAAAAGTATTTTGTAAAATTAGACGTGTTCGAGCAATGAGACCTGTATACATGGAGCTTCTAGGTCCAAAACCAGCGGAAGTGCGTATCACTGTGTCCCAAGGCAATACCGATGTAATGGTACGTTGATGTGGATTGATGTTGAATCCAAGTGCATCAAAACCCTGTACTTCTTCCAAAAGAATGGGCGAGGTGTAGAAGTCTAAATTCCAAAAGCAAGTTTGTCGAAGGCGATCAGTGAGTTGTTGTGGACCCAAAAGCAGACGGTTGTCAACATAACGAAAGGAACTAAAAAGTTTTCCAGAAAAAATGGCTTGTCCAAAAGGCATGCTGTAGGTGTGCTCTCGATGTAGGGCAACTAGTGAACATACAACTGGGGCCCACTGTGAGCCCATAGATGCGCCTTGTATCTGTCGGTAGCTAACACATCCCAGTGAAAATAAGCTATGGCGAAGGAGGTACTTCACAAGACTATGGTCTCAATTATTGGATTGGTTTGAAGTGTTCGCTCAGTAGAAAACCTCGAAAACATGAATCAAGATCGTACACACATCTGCAGCGATAAGGTCCCTACCGTGTTTGACATTCTGCTTGGTTCGAGCATCACAAACTATGTGTGTCCGCACACTTTTGTGATAGGTCTTCCTATATTCTAGATCTCTTCAAATTGATCTCTTGTCCTCACAATTGTAAATTGATTTGAAAGAGAAGGTGAAAACTCATAAAATGACAGTAAGAAGTAGGGTTCCCGGCCAATAAAATCCTTCGGCACATGGCCACCTTCGCCCTATGGGCACCATTCGCCCGTTGGGCACTCCTTCGGCTTATGCCACCCTTCAATTGTCCTTGACCCCCCTTCGGCTATTGCCATCACTTCTAGCAGCCCCTATGGCTACTCGCTCAACTTCTGCCTCCGTAGAGGGCGGATTCGGCACACTATGCCAAGATTGTTCTTCCCCATTAGGGATGATGAGGTCATGGTCTGTATAGGACACATGACTAATGCACACTGTTGATTTTTTGGAAGTGAACTGCAATGACGATGTGGTTGTACATGCCTGGTAGAATCCTGAGTCCATCATCCTTGATAAACAGGTGAAACCAGGTCCAAATCATTAATCGGCAAGGTGGTTCTTGGGTTAGCCACATCCCATCGCGGAAATGGAAAGACATGATTAGGCAGGTACGTCGATCCAGCGTCCCGGATCGATATCACAGAATGTCATAGCCGTCTTCGTTGGCTGCAGAACTATGACATTCCCTGCAGCCCCCTGCTGTTAAGTAGTCTTTGGCGCATGAATTCGGAAAACATAACGTGCATAGTCTTTGGCGCATGAATTCGGAAAACATAACATGCATAGTCATCAAATGTCCAGTTGTAGTTTTCTGCATGTGAATAGCAGTGTACACACACACACATTACTACATTTTCACAAGCATTTGAAAGACAATGTATTTATAATACAAGGCAGAGAGCCAGGGTTTCTATATTATAATTCTTATATATATATATGTATTTTGTATCGTACGTCTCGTATTTTGTGTTGCTTCTTCGCCAGAGATTGTGAGTGTCGCTCCGGCTGCTGTAGTTTGCAGCGACCGGCCTGCAGTCTAGAAGCTCGTTCAGATTAGCTCTCACCGATAAGCCCTCAAAGGGCGTTTGAGGTTTTCACTGTAGCAAGAATTGTGCAAACAGGCAGAACCTGTGAGGAGCGGCGTCTCTGAGACATACAAATTACGTCTATTTTGCTGCTTCTGGGGGAGGCTTCACCAATGATGCTTCGGAGCACGACCAAGCTTGGGTGTCTACTAACTATGGTGTCTGAGTTGACCTGTTCTCTTTGGTAGCGATAGCTGGGTTGTGAAGTATGATGTTGCAGGAGCACTGGTATGAGGCATGAATGAGTAAAGTTGGGCTAGAAAGCGTAGAAAGCACCCAAAAAGAATTCCGAAGAAGCTAGAGTCAGCACAACATGTCGGATAGATTTTGGTCCTAGATCATGAGTGGGTGGGCTGCCTCTAGAGATGTGCAAAGTCGGCCAGCTGCCATATTGTGTCGGAGTAGATCCCAGGCCTTGGACTGGTGTGGCCCACTGTTGAAGGGCTCTTCTTCCTCAAAGCTCAAAAGATGTGCCACTAATGGCGGTGGACACGGGTAGTCTCCATTTTCTTTTTGATATTCTATCCTTTTCTGAGGTGCTAGGCTTTTAATAAACCTGAGAGTTAGAGTCTCAAACAGCTGCTCTCACAGAGTGGTATGGCAAGATTGCTTTTACTGCCTTCTACAATTTTGAAGCGCACTGTAGTGTGTGCAGCTTGCATGAGTTGGATGGTTGATGATGGTTGCACAAGTTGGATCCACAACCCAACACCAGGAGACGCCAGTGAACCTGTCAATATCAGATCCTTGCTTGCACTTGGAGGACAAAAGAAGAAACTTAAGTGTGGGTCGAAATGAAGCAAAGAAGGGTCCAAAGGCTTCTCCTAACGCTTGGGGAATCTCACCAGGATCCTGAAATACTTGTCAGTGACTTGTCAGTGTCAAGATGCATGATTTCCTTTCTATGAAGCTTTGGGTTTGACTGTCGCATACTGTCGCGAAACTCTGATAAGACGACTGTGAGCAGCCGTGCGGCCATTATGTTCTTGCTCTAATTATTGTTGTTGATGTTATTGTTTACTTTTTCTCGCACTCTGAGGCTTTAGTTTTGGTGGACAACATCGTTGGTGTTTTGTTCTCCTGGGCCTTGCTTGTCTACCCCATGCATGGAGAACTGCATGAGGCATGTCACGGGTTATGCGTCGATCAGCAAAACTTTGGATTTCTCTAGATTTTGTTGGTTCATTTTGGTTTGTAGGCAACCTGATGTTCGAGGGACAGAAGCCTGAAGATGTCCTAAGCTGCAAATGCGTTGTGTTAGTGTTTCCTGCCGCTCCAAGCCAGCCAAATGTGAGAGAGAGAGAGATGAAAAAAAACAGAATGTGTATCCAAAGCAGAGCAACCGTCCATTGGCCAGACAGAATGGAAAACTTCTGGCATGGCTTGGTCCTTCGCATCGTGCATTGGAGGCAGCAGGGTACCGTGGCCAAGTTTTGCACAGGCAAGTGTGAAAAGAAAAGCATAAAATGTTTGAAGCAAACTTGCTATTCAATCTTCCAGAACTTTCCCGTCTGTGATATTTGCATTGAGTTTTCACATCAAAAGATTGAATGAAAATGAATGAAAGTCCAGATCCCAACATCTGTCCAGATCTGTCCAGTACAGAATCAGCTCAGGCCCACGCACACATGGATCCTCATTCAAAATATTCAAACTTCTTCAAAAAGTGAAGGCAGATGAAGGCAGCATGCTGCAAGTTCTCTTGGGAAAACTAGCAAAGTAGTGGGTGTGGGTCTTTTGAAAGGCGCCGCCATTGCTTATGCTGGCATTGGTCTATCTCGCAATTTGAGCGCTACTGGTGCCCTTGTGGTCACAAACATTGACCCACGGAGAAGAAAATAAGATTCAATTGTCTTCGATGTCAGCACGTCTAGAAGAATAAGAGAATGATTAAGCCAAAACATTTGGTCCTTTCAAGGCTCTTTTCTTGAGGTAGATGCAAATCATGGAGTAATTGCACCGTTCCGTTCTTGTCACTTAAGAAACACCAAGGACAAGGTTCTGGTTCTCCTGTATGGAGTTCTCATGCACCTTTCCTGCCATTATGGCCATTGAATTCTGCAAGGGGTCCTTGTGCGCGCTTGCTCTCAGTTTTCTCAATGTTTTTTTCTCAACGTTTGTGCACTTCAAATGTGGGTTCTTCGTTTGGACCTTGGGGAAGAACCTTTTGCCTTCCGTCCCTGAAAGCAGCCTTTTCATGGCTTTGTAGAACAGATACTTTCAGCATTTTTCAGCTTTGTACTTTTTAGGTTCTACTCATCAATCATGACCAAACCAGAGTGCTCCCAGAATGGTACCAATATTGTCCCAATAGTATCCAATAGTGATGCTGTGATCCATGAGCTGCTTGCACCGAGGCTTGGTGATCGCTTCAACGGTCCCAAGATCTTAGATTGTGCACTTGCGCTGCTCGGAGGCCAGGAATCGGTGGCCAACACCTTGCCTTGCCACCTTGCTACTAAGATTACTAAGTGTTACTAGGGTGCCAAGATGTGCCAAGGATGATTGGCACGTGTTGTCACACTTTAAGATGTGAATGATCAAGATTGATCAATATTGATCAATTACTGCCACTACCGACAAGGTGTACGAGTAGAGTAGCTGAAGAATCCTAAAGTCATGAAGAGTTGCGACTAGGCCTGTCCAACGCCATTTTTTTTCATATTTGTATATATTTGTTCATTAGGAGGGACATCTAAAGTCTAAAGGTTCGCATGCATCCTTAATAAATCATGGAAGTACAGAGCAGCCAGCTTACAAAGTTGGACAGTTCTTTGCTCATTCTTTGCTCATGTTACACATGTTGTTTTGAAAATTTTGTTTCTTGCACTTTCAGTTCTGCAATGTTTCCCAGGCGCATGGCCTTGGTTGCGTCTTCGTAAGGAATCCAAGGAGGTGCCTCACTGAAATTTCAAATCCTTTCATTCAAATTTCATGCAGATCTTTTGATATTTCATTATTTTTGAACCTTGCAAGAATGGACACAATTCTAGAGCCTAAATGCAGTGGGACTTCAGCAGTGGGCCTGACCTAGATATTTAATGGCACAGTATGGCACGGTATGGATTGGTATAGTGTTGTGATATGTTGATATTTTGTGATGTATTGTGTGTTGATTTCAGCCGAGGACATCGACGGATGTTTTTCGTGCCCTTCCTTTTGACTTCAAACTGGGCAAGTCCACCAAGTGCTTTTTGAGTCGGCAATTGTGGAGACGTGTCGCGGCTTTGGATGACTTGAAGGCCTCAAGTGACCATGAGTTATGATGCTGTAGGACCACACTGTAGGATGTAGGATGCTGTCGGGAGGAAGTTCAACGAACTTTTGGGATGCCAGAGGGCAAAAGTAAAAGGACGCAGGACCTTGACCGTCCCCAATTGGAAACCTGTTGGGTCAGAATGAGGTTCTTTTGGTTTGCCTTCGATGAAGACAGATGACGACTCCAGGCAGCAAAAAGTCTTCACATGGAGGGCGGACCAGCAAGGAAAAGAGCTGACATTGGCATTGTAATGTCAAAATATCTCAAACATGTTCAAATATATTTTACACAAGTTGTGTGGGTTCCTTCGCTCGGAGCCATGTTTTTTCCAAACCAGCAGCAGATTGCACCATTGTTTCCGGCTGCATGAGGAGCTTGACAATATCCTATGAACAGACGATATCCGCATATCCGTCCAAAGTTGCCTGGATTTGAATCAGGAGCAGCTGTTTCCAAAGCATCAGCATCAGCACACCATGTATTGATGTTCGGATGTGGGCTATGTTTGGATCATAGAATCATAGCTGATGGTATATGTTCAGCTTGAAACTGTCGCAACGTGAAGCACTTCGCAAACATTAGAGTATCCCGGCATATATGTTTGCGAATTCCCATGCGGCGTGCAAACGGCATCATATGATATCATATGAGGATGCAAACCTCAAACTTATTTTCATGCCTAATGGTCTACCCATGATGCATAGTTAACTCACATTCAACATTTCAAAGGCAGAGCCGGGATCCTGGACAATGCATGCACAAGTTGCAGCTTGCACCAGTGATTCCTGAACATGTCCAGTGTTGTTTCCTGAAGATAGTGAGTCTTGAGCAGGAATTGATGGACGGAGCACTATGGAACTTGATAATTCTGAATCTCATCCAAAGCAGGTGCCGGCGTTTTTGCCATTGCTGTTTGTGGCCGTAGTTGCAAAGCGTTTCAGCAAGCTTCAATGCCAACCACTGTGGATCCACAGTATCTCAGATATGATATCTCTGCGAGCTAGCATTGCTATAAAAGGCAAGACAATGTTGGGTCTTTGCCAAGTCGCATCATTTGATCAGTACTTGTTCTGGCTTTAGCATCAAGCATCGTGTGTGGTTATGTGGTGGCTTTCCTTGACGCATATTTTAGCTTCCTGCCCTAGAACATCCTAGAACAATAATACTGTTGCACTGCAGTGCGAAGTGTTCCCAAGTTGGGCCAAAGGGCCTAGCGCTAGTTGAGAGTAGCACGTCTCACCCTGCCGTTATGAATTGTTTTAGTTGCTTCAAGTTTGAGCGCAAGTTGCCCCGGCACGGAAGCGAAAGAAAATTGGCAATAAGACCACTAAGAGCGCCAGAGGTCTCCCAAAAGGACTTTGAAATGAGACACGATAGATAACAAAGTACTGCAGAAAAATGGAAAGCCTGGAGTGAGTGACTCACGACTAAGCAGGAACATGTTGCCATGCTTCCAGGGTCACTACCGGTCAGCACGTTTGCACACCGACAGGTCTGGCAAGGTTAATCCCGCAATACAATATATTAACGAACTTGCCATGTGCACATATCTACTGGCACTCGCATACATATTTACCGCATGTACAGATTATACATTATTTATTATAATAATTACTATAAAGGATACTGCATCATTATATCCACACTATGTACTTTTTTTTGATATGGCAATGATAATATGTACATGCATACATTGAGAGGAGAGCATCATACTTTTAGCTGAATCAAGTATGAGACTGAGAGCATCATATGTTCTGTGGAGCTCATGGGTGCAGCAAATCCATAGCAGCAAAGAGCTGAGTGACTATGGTTGATGAGTCAATGAGTTGCGGGTACTCGAGCTGCGTAGACCTTGCAGGATACATACCGCGCTGCACTCCAAAGAAAGGTGGCAGATGCTTCTTGGCCTCAGACTCGTAGCATGTTCGACACTGACTAATGCAGTACTAATGCATCCCACCATCTCTAACCATTTCGGGATTTGGGATGGGTAAGGTGGGCTAGGGGGGTTGAAGGGATGCGGGAGCCAAGGGGAAGTAAGGAGTTCCAGGGCTTGATTTGGATTTGTGTTTCGGATTTTGAGAAGCCAGACAATGCACCGAGTTGGCAAGGGGAAGGTAACAGGCATTACGATAGGAATCATATATGAATATATATTGGAATCATGTCGTTGAAAGACGAAAGAAGAATGATCATAATGTTCAGAATGTGTGCAAAGAATGCAGCAGCAATTGCCCGTCCAAGTTCCAAGGATATTGTTCAGCGAATATCTGCCTCTTTACGGCGAGGCTTGAGATTGGCATAGATTGGCAAATTTGACCAAAATGAGTGAAGACAGACCAACAAACATTTGCTGAGCCTTTTGGGTAGTTAGCAGACAGACAAGTTGCAGATGATTTGAGTCTTCTGACTGATGCAGGTGGCTACAAACCCCAAGACTTGTTCAGCATCTTGGCTTCAAAGTCTTCAAAAGTACAGTAGTCACTATACGTAGTCTCTACCCCCATGATGATCCAGAATCCGGGATTCTGGCGTTTGAAACGCATGCATTTGCCTTGAGTGGTGTCTGGTATGCTTTGGTTTGACTTGTGTGATAGCGGATGATAGCGGTAGCTACTGGTACTAAAAGGTTAATCTGACATGTAAGATGTCTAGTACTTGATTGACTGCAGGTTCAGAGAGCCAATCGAGTCATGCATGTAGTCATTGCATGTCATTGCAGCAGGAGTTCAGTTCCCTGCAGATTCTGCCCTCACAGCTGCATTTCAAATGATTGAAATGTTTTTCATCTTGGAAGACAAAGGCAAGCTGGATGCAGATGGTAGCGGACAGTTGTCTCGACAGGAGTCCAGCACTTGGTCCTGTGTGATTGAAGACTGTTTGAGTGGCATGGTAGCTGGGGTAGGGTAGGGCTGTCCAAAAGTGATGCGGCTGCCGAATCGATGTACCTGTCAAGTACCTGTGTATATTTGTGTATAGATGCAGGCAAAGTGCCCATGGTCTGGGTTTGGACTGGTCCGGTTGTGCTACTTTAGTCTATAGAGTCTATGGAGATGATGTGTGTGTGTATAATATGTATTAAGTATATAATATGCATGTAGGATGGTTAATTAGAAGACCTCGAAAGCCCTTCTGTGACCCAACAAGACCAATACATAGTAACAGTATGTAACAGTGTACTTGGGAATGCCTAGGTGTACCATATTCAGCCTACATTGTTGCTTGCTATCAAGGCTGCTAAGCATCGTCCTGCGATTGGAGCCAGGCAATGGCCATAGTACTGAAAAAGCCCTCACAAGTTTGATCAAGTCAAGTCTCTTGAGGTGTTCAAATGCCTTTTACTTTGGATAGTTTGGAAGTATTTTAGAAGTGTGCTTCTCAAAACACAAAGCTTAAGAATTGAGATCCGCAGGCCTCTCGCCAGCAGAGCAGGAAGCCATTTTTCAGCGTTTCGATGCTGTCGGGGGACACAGATCCTGCCAAGTTCAGCACGTTCCACTGATGCACTGCACACATTTGGAATCATTTGGACCATCTGTGACCATCTCGCCAACATCCCGCGAACTCGCCATCCAAGGACGGGAGCGGCTCCGTTTCTTGGGCAGAGTTCTGGGAGACGATCCAAGGAGGCGAGCCCTGCAGGGCCGCCACAATCCTGCAGGGTTTGATGTGTTTGTCTTTATACGGTTACCTTATATACATGTATGATATTGTATGATTATGATCGTTTACTGTATTATACTGTATTTATGTTTGCATGGACTCACTCATGTAATTTCGAAAGTTGTAGGTTTCTTCTAAAATTGTAAGTTGCTTCGAGTTGCTACGCTATTTCCTCTTGTTCCCCTTCTTGTTTTGAAAGAATGTGCGGAGTTCCTTTGTAAAGGTGGCGCCGCACAGCCTCTCGCACAGACTCTGCCAGCCAGAGTGCCGGGAACTGGAGCACTGCCTTTGAGGCCTTTGGATTCAGGCACCGGAGCAAAGCAAAGCCACGGCCGATTCGGTGTAATATGCACATACAAAACATATAAATATGATATATATATATATGTATTATATACTGTATATACTACATAAATTATATATATATAACACGGTGTATTGCATGGTATCATTAAGCCACTTGAAATCACTACAAGTTCTTTGGTTTTGGGTTCCCTGATCTTCGAATTGTTTAGCCATTGCCAAGACATCTTGCGGCAATCTATGACAATCCGTGACTTCCAGATGTTCTTGCAGGTTTTGGCCTAGCAGCAACTGCCCCTGCAACATGCCCAGAAGATCCCAGAAGCGTCCTTTGCTTTGGCTAGAAACTAGTTCGCCCTGCTCTAAAGGCAGTGTGGTCTCAGTATGAAGGCAGTGCAGTATCAGTATTATTTACATAGCTATACTAACTCAGAATTGCAACTTGCATTAACATGACTGGACAAATGATTCACGGTAATGAATGACACTTTTCCCGCGCATATCTTAAATACATGTGCCATTATTTGCCACATCAAGGCTCAACCAGTTGCCGTCCAAGCCGGTGGATTTGATCAAACCATTCATCCTCAGGATCCTGGCGCTGTGGTGTACATTGTCCCACTGCCATTTACTGCCCTAGTGTTCCTGTTTGTTTCCTGTTCGTTTGTTGGCGTCGTTATCTCGAAAGGTAGCGGTGAGCTACCTGAGTTCCCCCTTGCGTAGCAAGTATTAGGGGGCGAGCGGTGCAAGTGCAAGAGTTTGGGCCGGTTATGTCTCGGTCCGCCTTTCAAGGGGGGGGGGGCCCCCCCCCACCCTTCGATTCCCCCCAGGTCCGCCTCTAAAGCCGGGTTTGCAACATAGGCGGACTACAAGGAAACGCCAACAGCCGCACATGCACTTTCATCCACCACGTTTACATACATCCCCACCCCAACCGAAGTCAAGACCCGCACTGAAACTCGACAATGTCAGATTGCTCAAGAACTTTGTTTCGTTCACCCTAACAACCGCGATGAACAATGTCGTAGCAAGAACGTTGCGACGGACTGCGTTGCAGTAGTCTCAAAAATCGTACATGATATACCAGTAGTACCGCACAAGGCGGTGGCGGAAGTTTCAAAAATAGGAAACCTATAGGAGAGATTGGTTGTTGTGAATCAGAGATGGCAGAGCGAAGCCACTGCTGGACTGAAAGGCGATTGATCTCTCTCACTCTTGTCTACCTGTCTATCTATCTATCATATCTATCTATCTATCTATCTATATCTATCTATCTATCTATCTATCTATCCATCTATCCATCTATCCATCTATCCATCTATCCATCTATCCATCTATCCATCTATCCATCTATCCATCTATTTCTCCCTCTATCTATCTATCTATCTATCTCTCTGTCTATCTAATCTATCTATCTATCTATCTATCTATCTATCTATCTATCTATCTATCTATCTATCGATCTCTCCATCTATCGATCTATCGATCTATCGATCTATCGATCTATCCCTCTATCCCTCTATCCCTCTATCTCTCTATCTATCTATCTATCTATCTATCAATCAATCATATCAATCATATCTATCATATCTATCATATCTATCATATCTATCCTATATCTATCCTATATCTATCCTATATCTATCCTATATCTATCCTATATCTATCCTATATCTATCCTATATCTATCCTATATCTATC